TGGGGTGTCATACGAGATCTCGTCGCTACTGAGGCTTGTGAGAGAGAACACGAAGAAGCAAGATCAACTGAAACGTTGAAGTAGGGACGTCTGAGCCGAGGACAGCAAAAGAATTAGCTACAGGAGTGACTATGGGAGAGGTAACCACAGAGGTGGGTGCAGAAGATGGGATACCAAAGTGGGGGACGTTTTGAAACAGGGGAATAAGAAACACGAGATAGTCTCCCTTGGAGGCGGAGATGAGAAACTGCCATGGCATAAGGGAGACCTTCTGCCTCTTTGGGGTAACGGATTTCCCGCTCGTTTAAGTAGACTTGACAACGGCGAGAGTACAAAGGGGTGAGCCTCATGACAATTAAGGCAAGAGGGAGGTCGACTGCAAGACGTATTAGAATGGTCATCGGCACCACAGACTGGGCATTCGGCGATAGATCTGCAATATTTCGCTGGATGGCCAAATCGCCAGCAATTTCTACACTGTTGCGGTGTAGGGATCACCTTTCGAACTTGTAACCGATGTCCTGCTACATAAACTGAGGATGGGAGTTCACGGCTGTCAAAAGTTAAACGAGCCACATTGCTAGGGTATCGTCTCCGCCCGCGGGCAGGAGAACGTGTCTACCTTGAGGATTGGGAGTTTCTTGGAGTTCCAGCTGTTCAAGAATGTCAGTGCCACATGTCTGGAAATTTTGTTGAACTATGGTATGGGGCAAAATGATGGGTACCCCTACAAGAATTGAGGGAATGATGCTTTTCAATAGTTACAGGAACAGTATCGAATGGGAAAACAGAAAGCTCATGAGCCGGGGTAGCATTCTGTACGGTGACGATGCGCATACCGCTCTTAAGAGCATGAAAAGAAATATCTTTACCAACATGGCAAGGAGTGCCTTGCCAATACGTGGTCAGAAAGATAGCAGTAGAGGAAGTCGTCGTAAAGTGAAGAATTTAGTCCATTGTGCATCTGAAAAACCCAGTGTGGAAAGGGATGAAGGGCGTTCGATCTTTCTGAGAAGAACGAGAAGGTGGAGAAGTATCATCAGCAGGTAATTGTCGTTGTCGTTTAGGCGTGGGACCAGAGTTGGTCCGACGTGGAACGGGCCGGCGATTCGAAAATTGCCGCACCGTAGAGGCCGGAAGCATAGTCAGAGGAGAGCGAAGGTCAGATAAATTGAAGGAGTCAGTCGAGGCCTCAGTACCTGAAGCGGGTGAGGAAACAGCACCGGCAAGAGGTACAGAGGCATGAGGAGTGTCCGAAGAGTGGTCCAAAGACGAGGCGGGGTCAGAACAGGGTGCGGTATCAAGAAGGGGCCCGGGGGTAGCAGGTTCATGGACTAGGGCTGCCATGGTTAGGTTACTTCTTTCTTTTTGTTTTTAAGAAAAAAAAGGGGGGACCGGGGAGGGATAGTTCCTAGGAGGAATGAAAGGGCCAGAAATCTCCCTCTGCACCCAAGAGGACCTCAGCACCGCAAGTAGCGCAGATGCAGCGTGGAACCCGTGCCATACCCTACCTATCATGCCAGTAAACCGGCAATCCAGGATAGCAACCTCTGAGCTACCTCGGTGGACAAATGAGAGGGCGGCCGGAAATCCGCCACAAAGCATACGAAAGGTGGCTTCCCGAGAGACACCCAAAGCCACCCTCCGGGATACCGGAGAGGGATCAGGACATCCCCAGGCAATCCAGATTCCACGGCAAACTACGCCACTGCCAAGAACCTCAATGGAATGGGATGGACCCCGGTACCCTTTCCCCTACCTAGGAACTAGCGTGCCTGTGGAAAAAAAAAAAAAAAAGGCCAAAAAGGGAGGGGTGGGGAGGAGGAGGAAAGGAAAAAGGGGAGGATGGGATGGGGGTAATTAGGTTCGGTCTGAGGAAGTAGACTGACAGGTCTAATTCCTCAGACCAAGAGCCTCTTCACCACGCCAAGGAGCTCCCCTGGAAGAGGAATTCTTTCAATAATGACTACCATACACTTTACCAGGTATACTCAACAAACTTATCACCCTATAATTTTTGCACTCTTTTGTCCCCTTTGCCTTTATACAAAGGAACTATGCATGCTCTCTGCCAATCCCTAGGTACCTTACCCTCTTCCATAGATTTATTAAATAATGGCACCAACCACTCCAAAACTATATCCCCACCTGCCTTTAACATTTCTATCTTTATCCCATCAATCCCGGCTGCCTTACCCCCTTTCATTTTACCTACTGCCTCACGAACTTCCCCCACACACAACTGGCCTTCCTCACTCCTACAAGATGTTATTTCCCCCTTGCCCCACACACAAAATCACAGCTCCCTATCTTCTTCAACATTTAACAATTCCTCAAAATAACTCTCCATTTAATAAAATCTCCTCTCCCATTTTTAACTGACAAAACTATTTGTTGGCTTCCTTTAAATTGTTAATCTCACTCCAAAACTTTTTCTTATTTTCAACAAAATTTCTTGATAACATCTCACCCACTCTCTCATTTGCTCTCTTTTTACATTGCTTCAACCACTCTCTTAACCTCTCTCTCTTTCTCCATATACTCTTCCCTCCTTGCATCACTTCTACTTTGTAAAAACTTCTCATATGCTAACTTTTTCTTCCTTTCTACTCTCTTAAATTCATTCCACCAATCGCTCCTCTTCCCTCCCGCACCCACCTTCCTGTAACCACAAACTTCTGCTGAACACTCCAACACTATTTTTAAACCTACCCCATTGCCTATGCTCTCATTAGCCCATCTATCCTCCAATAGCTGTTTATATCTTACCCTAACTGCCTCCTCTTTTAGTTTATAAACATTCACCTCTCTGTTCCCTGATGCTTCTGTTCTCCTTGTATCCCATCTACCTTTTACTCTCAGTGTAGCTACAACTAAAAAGTGATCCGATATATCTGTGGCCCCTCTATAAACATGTACATCCTGAAGTCTACTCGACAATCTTTTATCTACCAATACATAATCCAACAAACTACTGTCATTTTTGCCCTACATCATATCTTGTATACTTATTTATCCTCTTTTTTCTTAAAATATGCATTACCTATAACTAAACCCCTTTCTCTACAAAGTTCAATCAAAGGGCTCCTATTATCATTTACACCTGGCACCCCAAACTTGTTCCCCTATATTTTTTTCCCTTTGCCTTTATACAAAGGAACTATGCATGGTTTCTGTTAATCCCTAGGTACTTTACCCAATTCTATACACTTGTTAAAAAAAAAACTAACCACCCCAAAACTATATCCCCACCTGCTTTTAACATTTTTATCTATCCCAGATGCTTTATCCTCTTTCTACCCACTTCCCCCACACTATTAGGAATGAAGAAGAACCAGTTATTTTTCCTTGCCCTATACACTAAATCACAGCTTCCATATCATCAATACTTCATTTTGCAAAATATTCCCTCCATCTTCCTGATGACTCTCCTCTCTTATTTTTAACTAACAAATCCATTCGTTCCCTAGTCTTTCTCGACTTGTTAATCTCACTCTTAAATTTTTTTTTTCTTATTCTCAACAAAATTTGTTGGTAAATGTCTTGCTCTTTTACATTGCTTCACCCCTCTCTCTCTCCAATACTCCTCCTTCCTTGCATCACTTCTACTTTTTGAACCTCTCATAAGGAAACTTTTTCTCTTCCTATCTACATCATTCCACCTATTTTCCTGTAAGCACCAACTTCTGCTGAACACTTAACAATGTTCTTAAACTTGCCCATCTGTCCAGCAGCTTGTATCTTGCCCTAACTGCTTCCTCCTTTAGTTTATAAACCTTCACTTTGCTTCCATTTTCCTTGTATCCCATCTACCTTTTACTCTCACTGTAGCTACAACTAAAAAGTGATCTGATATATCTGTGGTCCCTCTATAAACATATACATCCTGAAGTCTACCCAAGTCTTATCTACCAATACATAATCCAACAAACTACTGTCATAATGTCCTATATTGTATACTTATTTATCCTTGTTTTCTTAAAATGTGTTACCTATAACCAAACCCCTTTCCATACAAAGTTCAGTCAAGTGCTTCCCCTTATCATTTCCACTTGGCACCCCAAACTCACCTATCACACCCTCTCTAAACACTTATACTTTAGCATTTAGGTCCCTTACCACAAATACTCTCACTTGGCTCAAAAGTTCCTACACACTAGCTTAATGCCTCCAAATTAACTAGAACTTTAATTTTAATTCTTTATTTAGCTTTGTACTCTAGTTCCATGCATTTTAGTTTTAATTTTTTTTTTTTTTCATACTTTTGAGATTTACTAATAAGCTGGGTGCATGGTTTTGGTAAAGCAAAGGTCAGGCTTCAAAAGGGTCTGGCCCCCCAAGAGTTAGATGAGGTGTCCAAAAGCAATACCAGGTTCAAAGGAAGGTTCATGGGCAGGTAATGGTACTGGGAGAACACACTGGAAATCCATGGTTGCCTCCACTACTACCAAGGGCCTTAACCTAGTTATAATTTACAAGGGGAATATCCCCAAAACCTGAATTGGATAGGGGGCAATCGGATTCGATCCAAGGAAGTAGACAGAAATCTTAATTCCTCAAATCAAGAGCCCTTCATGTCAAGGGTATTGCAAAAATAAAAGGACACATTATTACTGAAATGTGCAACATAGGCATCTTTCATTGGAAATATTTTGCCATCCATATTTTTTTTTTCTATTTAAATATAAAAAATACATACTGGAGATGGGCAGAAGTGGTGAGGTAGTCTAATCACCCTAGACTGAGATCAATCATAGCTGAGGAACTAAGCCCCTAAGATTACCTCTGCATTTCCACTAGCATTTGTTTTGAATTTTAAAAAGCCACTGGTTGGCAAAGCATCAACAATAGATACCCAGGTGTTACATTGTCTTATTCATCCACTTTTTGGTTTTATATACAGTACCATTAATTTAATGAGGTATTTAATTTCCTAAACTTTTACATCACCTTTTTAGTAGCTGTGATAAAAAAAAAAAAAAAGGAAAGGAGAAACACAAGAAGCTTCAATGTTTATCATAATACTGCTTCCATGTGTGCCATAGGAACTTACAAGCATACATGCATGTTGCACTAGTACTTCATATATAATCACCCTTAAAACTAAACATTTACTATATACAAGCATATTTACATAGCCACTGTAATATGTCAGTTTGGCTGTGGTTACAGAACTTTGTACATTAGTGATAGAATTTGACAAATCAAGCTGATGATTGGCATAGAAAAGGTGTACAGTATTTTTTCTAATGGGAACATAAGCTGGCAAGTAAAGAAATTAATACTTTACTTTGCTGGAACACTACATCTTGCTTGTCTTCAGACTCCTGAACAAAAAAAAAAAAAAAAAAAAAAAAAAAAAAATATACTGCCTCAAAGCACATAATATATCTAAGCATGATAACTAGTTTCATTGTTTACATTGCTTAAATTTTTCATTTCATGGCAAGGCACAAATTGACTGCAAGAAATTTATGCCAAGGATATTCATAAAGCTGAAAAGTTTATGCTTTGACAATCCTCAACAAATTAAGGAGGAAAACATTGAGGATGCAAGGAAAATTAGCATAAACTGCTTTTTACACGTGTAGTCAGGCACAGTAATCCTCGCAGCTCAGTTAGCACCCAGCTAACTAGAGCTAGAGCATTACCTTACATGTAAGCTGTCATACAAAATGGATGCAAATGAAATACATGGGGATTAGTCACTATGTGCTTAAAGAAAAGTTATCACAGCTTATTATAACAGTAACTATTCTGCATTACCATTGAAGGTTAATAACAGAACTTTATAATTCCTAAAAACATCAATTAAAAAGTTTGGTTGTCAACTTGGAATGATGAAATTCTGTCATTCAATAAATGCTGCAGTAATATTTTTTGTACTGAATACAGCATAAAATATATAAATTTCTTATACTGAGAACTTTATACACAGCCAGATTAACAAGATTTTTCTTGTCTTTTCTGCAAACTAAAAATTCAGACTAGACAGATTCCTCCTTTAAATATAAACAAAACCAATTCTAAAAGAAATAAGAGCATAACTGCCATTAAGTTACAACTTTTAAAGATATGAATAATTAAGGTAAACTATGTGTAACAAATTAAAAAGTACGACAGAAGGCACTTTTCACCACTGCAGAAGAAAAAATTTCAATTGGTTAAGCCAAACACACACACACAATGTGTATGTATAATATATATATAAACACTTTTTTCCCCAGCATGAATAAGAAAGTTTTAATGTCATGTTTGAAGAAGGCTGCATTAATCCCCAGGTCTTTTCTTTTAATGCTAGCACATTTTAGCAATCACAAAAATATGGTTAAGCATTATGGTTCATAATTTTTAAGGCTTTAATAGCTCATGTCTCAAAATGACAGAAGATAGATGTGACATAGTTATAAACGGTCTGCCAGTTTGGACGTTCAGATGTTATCATATCATTGACATCCTGCAAGAATAGTGACATTAGAAAAACCTCTCGTGCTAATTCTAATGCAACAATTATACAATATTTTATATGGGGTAAAAAATAGTAACATAGTAATGAACAGTATTCCATATATATAACACTATCCTAACTCTTGAAAGTAGAATATCTGAGAATTTAAGCACTAACAGCAATCCATCCTAAGCAAATATTTTCTACTTCAGCTCTTAATGCAATTCTTAAATATAGTTGTATGTTATAACTGTTTAAATTTGGTGGCCAATCTATAATTTTATTTTTTTTAAACTCTTTCACACCAATGTAGGATGAAACTAGAGAAATGCAGTCAAGCATGCGTGAGCGTGTTAGATAGGAGTGAATGGTTTTTGGGACCCGACTAGCTGTTGGAGTGTGAGCAGGGTAATATTTAGTGAAGGGATTCAGGGTAATTATATAGTAGGTTGGTAGACAGCAACCACCCAGGGAGGTACTACCGTCCTGCCAAGTGAGTGTAAAACGAAAGCCTGTAATTGTCTTACATGATGGTAGGATTGCTGGTGTCTTTTGTCTGTCTCATAAATATGCAAGATTACAGGTACGTCTTGCTACTTCTACTTACACTTAGGTCACACTACACATACATGTACACGTTTATTTATACACACTCATCTGAGTTTTCTTTGATTTTATCTTAATAGTTCTTGGTCTTATTACTTTTCCTTTTATATCCATGGGGAAGTGGAATAAGAATCTTTCCTCCGTAAGCCATGCGTGTTGTAAAAGTCAACTAAAATGCCGGGAACAATGGGCTAGTAACCCCTTTTCCTGTAAAGATTACTAAAAAGAATAAGAAGAAGAAAATTGTCAAAGTGGGAAGTCTGAATGTGCGTGGATGTTGTGCAAATGATAAGAGATGATTGTGGATGTTATGAATGAGAAGAAACTGGATGTCCTGGCTTTAAGTGAAACAAAGCTGAAGGGGGTGGGAGAGTTTCAATGGAGAGGAATAAATGGGATTAGGTCAGGGGTTTCAAATAGAGTTAGAGCTAAAGAAGGAGTAGCAATAATGTTGAAGGATAAGCTATGGCAGGAAAAGAGGGACTACAAATGTATAAATTCAAGGATTATGTGGAGTAAAATAAAGATTGGATGTGAAAAGTGGGTTATAGTAAGCGTGTATGCACCTGGAGAAGAGAGAAGTGTAGAGGAGAGAGAGAGATTCTGGGAAATGTTGAGTGAATGCGTGGGGAGTTTTGAATCAAGTGTGAGAGTAATGGTGGTTGGGGATTTCAGTGCTAAAGTGGGTAAAAATGTTATGGAGGGAGTAGTAGGTAATTTTGGGGTGCCAGGGGTAAATGTAAATGGGGAGCCTTTAATTGAGCTATGTGTAGAAAGAAATTTGGTAATAAGTAATACATATTTTATGAAAAAGAGGATAAATAAATATACAAGGTATGATGTAGCACATAATGAAAGTAGTTTTAGATTATGTATTGGTGGATAAAAGGTTGATGGGTAGGCTCCAGGATGTACATGTTTATAGAGGGGCAACTGATATATCGGATCATTATTTAGTTGTAGCTACAGTTAGAGTAAGAGGTAGATGGGAAAAGAGGAAGGTGGCAACAACAAGTAAGAGGGAGGTGAAAGTGTATAAACTAAGGGAGGAGGAAGTTCGGGCGAGATATAAGCGACTATTGGCAGAAAGGTGGGCTAGTGCAAAGATGAGTAGTGGGGGGGTTGAAGAGGGTTGGAATAGTTTTAAAAATGGAGTATTAGAATGTGGGGCAGAAGTTTGTGGTTATAGGAGGGTGGGGGCAGGAGGAAAGAGGAGTGATTGGTGGAATGATGAAGTAAAGGGTGTGATAAAAGAGAAAAAGGTAGCTTACGAGAGGTTTTTACAAAGCAGAAGTGTTATAAGAAGAGCAGAGTATATGGAGAGTAAAAGAAAGGTGAAGAGAGTGGTGAGAGAGTGCAAAAGGAGAGCAGATGAAAGAGTGGGAGAGGCACTGTCAAGAAATTTTAATGAAAATAAGAAAAAATTTTGGAGGGAGTTAAACAAGTTAAGAAAGCCTAGGGAAAGTATGGATTTGTCAGTTAAAAACAGAGTAGGGGAGTTAGTAGATGGGGAGAGGGAGGTATTAGGTATATGGCGAGAATATTTTGAGGAACTTTTAAATGTTAAGGAAGAAAGGGAGGCGGTAATTTCATGCACTGGCCAGGGAGGTATACCATTTTTTAGGAGTGAAGAAGAGCAGAATGTAAGTGTGGTGGAGGTACGTGAGGCATTACGTAGAATGAAAGGGGGTAAAGCAGCTGGAACTGATGGGATCATGACAGAAATGTTAAAAGCAGGGGAGATATAGTGTTGGAGTGGTTGGTACTTTTGTTTAATGAATGTATGAAAGAGGGGAAGGTACCTAGGAATTGGCGGAGAGCATGTATAGTCCCTTTATATAAAGGGAAAGGGGACAAAAGAGATTGTAAAAATTATAGAGGAATAAGTTTACTGAGTATACCAGGAAAAGTATACGGTAGGGTTATAATTGAAAGAATTAGAGGCAAGACAGAATGTAGAATTGCGGACGAGCAAGGAGGTTTCAGAGTGGGTAGGGGATGTGTAGATCAAGTGTTTACATTGAAGCATATATGTGAACAGTATTTAGATAAAGGTAGGGAAGTTTTTATTGCATTTATGGATTTAGAAAAGGCATATGATAGAGTGGATAGAGGAGCAATGTGGCAGATGTTGCAAGTATATGGAATAGGTGGTAAGTTACTAAATGCTGTAAAGAGCTTTTATGAGGATAGTGAGGCTCAGGTTAGGGTGTGTAGAAGAGAGGGAGAATACTTCCCGGTAAAAGTAGGTCTTAGACAGGGATGTGTAATGTCACCATGGTTGTTTAATATATTTATAGATGGGGTTGTAAAAGAAGTAAATGCTAGGGTGTTCGGGAGAGGGTGGGATTAAATTATGGGGAATCAAATTTAAAATGGGAATTGACACAGTTACTTTTTGCTGATGATACTGTGCTTATGGGAGATTCTAAAGAAAAATTGCAAAGGTTAGTGGATGAGTTTGAGAATGTGTGTAAAGGTAGAAAGTTGAAAGTGAACATAGAAAAGAGTAAGGTGATGAGGGAAATCAAATGATTTAGATAAAGAAAAATTTGGGATATAAAATTTGGGGAGGAAGAGTATGGAAGAAGTGAATGTTTTCAGATACTTGGGAGTTGACGTGTGGGCGGATGGATTTATGAAGGATGAGGTTAATCATAGAATTGATGAGGAAAAAAGGTGAGTGGTGCGTTGAGGTATATGTGGAGTCAAAAAACGTTATCTATGGAGGCAAAGAAGGGAATGTATGAAAGTAAGTAGTACCAACACTCTTATATGGATGTGAAGCTTGGGTGGTAAATGCAGCAGCGAGGAGACGGTTGGAGGCAGTGGAGATGTTCTGTCTAAGGGCAATGTGTGGTGTAAATATTATGCAGAAAATTCGGAGTGTGGAAATTTAGGAGAAGGTGTGGAGTTAATAAAAGCATTAGCCCAGAGGGCAGAAGAGGGGTTGTTGAGGTGGTTTGGTCATTTAGAGAGAATGGATCAAAGTAGAATGACATGGAAAGCATATAAATCTATGGGGGAAGGAAAGAGGGTAGGGGTCGTCCTCGAAAGGGTTGGAAAGAGGGGGTAAAGGAGGTTTTGTGGGTGAGGGGCTTGGACTTCCAGCAAGCGTGCATGAGCGTGTTAGATAGGAGTGAATGGAGACGAATGATACTTGGGACCTGACGATCTGTTGGAGTGTGAGCAGGGTAATATTTAGTGAAGGGATTCAGGGAAACCAGTTATTTTCATATAGTCGGACTTGAGTCCTGGAAATGGGAAGTACAATGCCTGCACTTTAAAGGAGGGGTTTTGGATATTGGCAGTTTGGAGGGATATGTTGTCTATCTTTATACGTATATGCTTCTAAACTGTTGTATTCTGAGCACCTCTGCAAAAGCAGTGATAATGTGCGAGTGTGGTGAAAGTGTTGAATGATGATGAAAGTATTTTCTTTTTGGGGATTTTCTTTCTTTTTTGGGTCACCCTGCCTCGGTGGGAGACGACCGACTTGTTGAAAAAAAAAAAAAAATATATATATATGAGGTCAGTGTTTGTTTTTATATATACATGTATATGTATTTATATATGGTAACTACATGTATCCAATTGGCATCAAATTCATATATGATATTCAAGCTATATGAAAACTTTGGAGAAAAAAATGTTCACCTTTTACAAATGCTAACTAATATTCAAGCACAACTATCACAAAAGTTAGTAAAAGGATAGATTTTAATGGGACATGATAATGTAAAAAAAATTAAAAAAAGCTTGCACAATGCTCTATCCTGTTGGCACCTAAGATTTAGGTTTCCATCAATCACACCGCAATGCTTAAATTTTCTAGATATTTCATAGAATTTAAATTTTTTATGCTCTAATTCTGCAAGTATTAAAAAATCAGTATTAGTTAAATGTTAAAAATAGAATTCCGAGAAGAGAGAAAAGGGTTCATGAAAAAATTCATACTTGTACAGTGGACCCCCGCATAACGATCACCTCCAAATGCGACCAATTATGTAAGTGTATTTATGTAAGTGCGTTTGTACGTGTATGTTTGGGGGTCTGAAATTGACTAATCTACTTCACAATATTCCTTATGGGAAAAAATTCGGTCAGTACTGGCACCTGAACATACTACTGGAATGAAAAAAGTTCGTTAACCGGGGGTCCACTGTATATGGATTTCAATCCCTCAAATACATTACTCTTGTATAAGATAACCCTAACCCCCTAATTTTTGTCTTGAAGCTTATACCTATACTAATGTATACAATAATGAAAATTAAGTACTATTAATGACTTCCTGAAGTCATTTGAATAAGATTGCAAAAACTGAATAACTAGACATGAAATTTTATGCAAATTATTCAAAAAGAAATTTTTAACTTAAAATTTAAACTTATGAATAGTATGCTACTTACCAATAAATTTGGTATTCCCACTGATTCTGCAGCTGATATTGCAACCTGAAAATTCTGTCTCTTATTCTGAGGTGAAAGATATTTGTAGTTTATTTTATGTGGAAGGTACGTGTCCAAGATGGCACATAGAGCAAGGCCATCATTCCAGCTGGAGCTAAAGTTGGTAATGTCAACATTGTTGTAGCCCAAAGTCTTATTCTGACACCACTTCAGTAAAGCATTTCTCTTTGATCCCCCACTCTGTGCTAGGGAAGCCAAGGGATCTTTCTTATCAACAACAGCACTAATCTGAAATTGACAATGACAATATAATGACCAGTTCTCTAAGAAGTCATTTGTAAGTAGTAAATTTATAAATCTATTTCACCTTACACTAAAATGATAACTACTTACCTGTCCATAACTATTGCGTCTCATGGAATGATCAATCTTGTTGCTTAAGATAGAAATGGGTTTAGAGACATTTTCTCCAGAGCCAAGAGTAGAAATTTTTCCAGAGTTTTTATCAGTTAACTGAGACATCTTTACATTGTCAGAGAGATTGGAAGAGCCTGGAGATGGCTTTGAGAAGGTAGACTGAGAAAGAGAGGATTGAGTGATGCCCTCTGTGAAGGAATTGCGCTGGATAGCTCTCAGAGGCGAGGACACTGATGAGCCGAGGGTATTTCCTGCATCCTTCAATGGTGATGAACCACCCCGGATTGCCGTCTGAAGAAATACATTTATCGATACAAAACTACAATACAAACTATCATACTCAGATTTATATCACTATGTCCACTCAAGCTGATTTGTCTATTTAGTAATATCAGATTAAAATAGTATAATTTCTGGTAATATGACAAAAAAAAAAAAAAAAAAAAAAAAAAAAAAAAAAAAAAAAAAAAAAAAAATTTAGGGTTAGTAAGTTAAGATTTGGGAAGGGGGGAGAATATACCGTATAACAAACTTCCCTCAACATTAATAAAATTAATGAACCTTTAAAATAAATTTCATAAAACCCATTATATTTCATTTTAACACATTTTGAACCAGAAGTGTCAAAATAGGGTTAGTTAGGGAAATTTTTTTATACCTCAATCCTTGCAGTATCACACCATCAGTTCAGACTACAAACTTGACATAGATGTAATTAGAATATGGAATGACTGTCATAAAATGTAAGTTCCTGCACACAAAATAATGATGCAGACATTGCTAATATGCACAATGCCACCAAGAGTGATTAGTGATGAACAATGTGAGGAAATAAACTTTTATTTCAAAGTTTATTTCCTCTTGTCAGGCATCCCTGAGTAAAAAGTATACTGTTGTTTCATTAGTAATCAAGTTATACTGCTTAGGATAGGGAATGCATTGGTGAAAGCGACATGTTTTTATTTGCTAGAATTAGAGCTTTAATTATCTGTATTAAACTGTATGCCACTTTTTGGATAACTATCTTAACTCAATCACAAAACTCATTTTATTTTATTTTTTTCGTCAGCAGTTAATTTTTCCGTATTTATTCTCTTATCTATGTATTTCGTAGATTGTGAACTAGGGACCCAACATCGACCACCAAGCTTTCTTCTTATTTTCGTCAACTGTTACCTATCAGTAAACTAAGCCACAATTCAAAAAATTTCTAAAGCTGCCACTTACTTCATCGATTTTCTCAAGTGGAGTAGACAAGTGGAAGACAGGTCTGAACAAATTGGGCACAAATCATATCTAACCAGGAAAAACTTAGAATGATGGATCAGAGTAGGATAAATTTAGTTTAGAAAGGATATAGGACGGCAGCACGCGTCTGGCAAAACAGTGACTGAACGAATGATAGTGAATGTGCTGTTTTTCAACTGCAGTGTTCCTCCATTACGTTGCTTCAAAAACCAAACATTTTATAGCAGTTGAAATATTTGAGACCATTTTTATAGGTCACCCTCTAATGGTGGAGAAGTTCTTAGAAAGAACAAGACAACTAAAACACAATAATAAAATAAAACTTCTACAAAACGTATATGCCACATACCTCTGTATCAGCTCGCTTCAGAATAGGAGTTTTATTATTATTAATGTTGCTTTCACTGCTTGTACTACATAAACTTGATGTGGAAGAGCTTCGGGAGCCAGCACGTGTCTGTCTAGTAGCACTTTCTATAGATTCTGTTCAAAATGCAAACTACATTAACACAATGTCAATATCAACAGATATAAAGTTTTATCAAGGAAAAAAAACACTATTTCAAGAAAACTAAGGCATTTATTTTAGCAACCGCCAAACTAACAAATGTTACTTTATGACTTGGATATATAAAGGCCATGCTAAGAGGCACTTTGCAGATTAGGTTAGCAAGTGTTTAAGCAAACTGCTGTAATTGTTTACAGCCAAGCTTTTTTTTTTTTTTTTTTTTTTTAACAAGTCGGCAGTCTCCCACCGAGGCAGGGTGACCCAAAAAGAGAAAATCCCCAAAAAGAAAATACTTTCATCATCATTCAACACTTTCACCACACTCACACATTATCACTGTTTTTGCAGAGGTGCTCAGAATACAACAGTTTAGAAGCATATACGTATAAAGATAGACAACATATCCCTCCAAACTGCCAAGCTTATTATAATAAATAAAAAAGTAAAATATGTGGAAGTATTACATAATATAACTCGTAACATAAGCTATGTCAGCTACTTGAAAATTTAATATATCTCAACCTTAAAAATGCATCTACTACTGGCAAGCCTCCCCCCTCCCCCATTTCAATTCAACTAAATTTTTAAATGTTTATAAATAAAACTTAGTATGCATATTAGTTCCCTCTCCCTCTAACAAAGCAAATTTCTGACATCTCTAAGCAAGCATATTACAATTTTTTAAATTCTTGCTTTTTTGATCAATTCAGTGTCTCATTTCTTTATTACAAGATTATCCAGAAAGCTTTAGTCATCAAGTACCATACCAAGAAAGTCACCAGAGGGTAAGCCTCTTAGAATATTGATAAGTGACATTTTTTATGCATACATGCTTGCTGGTTTCACTACTGTTTTCTGAAAAGCCTCAAGTGTACATTATAACCTCTTCTGATAACCAGAACGTTGTCTGAAAGACTCGGGCTATGGGTAATTATCTCTTACCTTCCTCACCTCTGGGTAAATACTGTACATAGTGTATTCCTTACAAGACATCTATTAGCTCTTCAGATTTCCAAACCTTTTGCCAAGATGTGGCAAATGTTTTCATTCTAAACTATGTGCCCATCCACATTTATGGCAGTACACATTATCTATGGAATAGTTTGAACAGAATTTTTTTTTTTTTTTTCCAACAAGTCGGCCGTCTCCCACCAAGGCAGGGTGACCCAAAAAAGAAAGAAAATCCCCAACAAGAAAATACTTTCATCATCATTCAACACTTTCACCACACTCTCACATTATCACTGTTTTTGCAGAGGTGCTCAGAATACAACATTTAGAAGCATATACATATAAAGATACACAACATATCCCTCCAAACTGCCAATATCCCAAACCCCTCCTTTAAAGCGCAGGCATTGTACTTCCCATTTCCAGGACTCAAGTCCGACTATATGAAAATAACCGGTTTCCCTGAATCCCTTCACTAAATATTACCCTGCTCACACTCCAACAGATCTTCAGGTCCCAAGTACCATACGTCTCCATTCACTCCTATCTAACACGCTCATGCACGCTTGCTGGAAGTCCAAGCCCCTCGCCCACAAAACCTCCTTTAACCCCTCTCTCCAACCCTTTCGAGGACGACCCCTACCCCGCCTTCCTTCCCCTATAGATTTATATGCTTTCCATGTCATTCTACTTTGATCCATTCTCTCTAAATGACCAAACCACCTCAACAACCCCTCTTCTGCCCTCTGACTAATACTTTTATTAACTCCACACCTTTTCCTAATTTCCACACTCCGAATTTTCTGCATAACATTTGCACCACACATTGCCCTTAGACAGGACATCTCCACTGCCTCCAACCGTCTCCTCGCTGCTGCATTTACCACCCAAGCTTCACATCCATATAAGAGTGTTGGTACTACTATACTTTCATACATTCCCTTCTTTGCCTCCATAGATAACGTTTTTTGACTCCACATAAACACCTCAACGCACCACTCACCTTTTTTCCCTCATCAATTCTATGATTAACCTCACCCTTCATAAATCCATCCGCCGACACGTCAACTCCCAAGTATCTGAAAACATTTACTTCTTCCATACTCCTCCTCCCCAATTTGATATCCAATTTTTCTTTATCTAAATCAAATGATTTGAACAGAATCAACTGAAAATATACACATTAAAATTATTTGTATCTTAAAGATAATAGCAATAAATGAAACCTAAGTGTGGATGCATCACAAAACTGCAAATTAAAAAATATAAAAAGTACTATACCAAGGAACTTTCAAGCAGAGGATAAATGCTCACCAATAAGGGATTTAACTCTGGAATCACCTCGTGCCAGGGGGCGAGGGTTACGGCGATCAGCAAGGATGCTAGGATCACCATTAGGCAGGGATGTAGGTACAGCACGTACAGTACGGCGATCACTGCTGCCATTGTTCAAGGTGGTATTACTGCTAATATTCACAGGGCTGCACACTTTCACAGCTGTGTGACATAAGACACTAGGCAATGTACTCAAACCAAAGCACCAATTTGATTATTTTCTCTACAATAATCTATCCAACTACAATTGTATTCCCAATTCTTACTATGAAAGCAGGGTAGCATAAACATAATTTCTGTAAAAAATTGTACATACTCTTCAGCTTTGTCTTCTACAGTTCCAAAAGCACAATTGCAATACAAAGTGAACTTACTGAGACTTTTTTTTTTTGTACTGTGGCACACAATCTTTTAAAACCAGTCATCTTTAATGTGAAAATGTAATTACAGATTTTAGAAATATTACTAATTTAAAAAGAAAAAACTTAGTTCCTCTCTCTCTCTCTCTTTCTTTTAACCATCTTCCATGTACAAGGCAGTTACTTCAACCATGTGTCAATAAAATTCACATTTCAGTAAATGTGCTCCTCCTACCCCTTCTCAATATATTCCTACTTACCCCAAGGCAATAATCTCTATAAAAAGCACTGATCAACTCAAATTTTCATTAAGATCCTTGCAAACCAGTTTATTATTAACTCATTCAGTAAACCTGATAAATTTTTAAATGGGTTTCATTCTATTGAAATTCCAGTAATACAACTATCTAGGATGAATAACAATGCTAATTAAGTCCACCCCTCAGGGAAGAGCCAAATAAGCTACTTGTATATCAAGTGCCACACGAAGCAAGGGTAGCAACAATGTAACTTTACAAGGGAGGAATTAGGAAAATCTTTACCCTTTCACCACATTACATGATCTTCAATTGTCAGATTTTGTTAGTAAAAATTTTTTTTAGTCTTAGCAATTTTGCATGAACTTAGTAGTGAGTTTTCTAGGTCTTTTTGATATTGCCCTTTGTTCACTGAATCTACTGGCATGATACTATTTAGATTTCTTACTTTGCCAATGACTTCATCTTACCACCAACTCTGAGACCATAGTTTCCTTCAAAGGGGATGGGGTGCCTTAACACTGTTGCACTGCTATTGATCCCAGAAACTTGATCCAACATTCACTTCCACGTGACATGCTTTCCTCCCATCCACCTGGCACCCTACAACCCTTAAAGATTTTTTGCCCACCTCTTCATTATTTAATAAGAGACCACAATTTCCTCACTCATTTCATTGATTCACCAACCATAACCCTCATTTAAACAATATGTGTTTGTTAGTAGCTATCTTTTAATTACCTTACTATCCATTACTCCAGCTTTACCCTGTGCCAATCTTCACATTTGACTTAGCCTTTTGTTTTTACTCTACAAGTTGAATTTTCTTAATGATCATCACTCCTATTTTAAATCAAACAACTTTTCCCTTTAATTTTTTCTTGAGCCCATTCTATGTGAAGGTAAATCAAAGAACAGATGGGGCTTGAACCCATGGCAAACACATCCTAAAACTCGCATGCAATATCCACTGGACCATATTGACTTCAAAGGATTCATCCAATTAGGTATGTTTCTATACACCAAAGGGAGGCAAGCATGGGCTCCATTGTGACCATAAATGCAGGTTATTACAGACTAATCTCTCACCAGCATGCTTTGGCATGTTCTAACCATAGGTTCAATCACCACCCATTGTTATTTCTTTGTAATCATGTTATTACAATTTCCTGAGTCAAGTATGTGAATGCGCTCTCAACAGTTAATTTCGTCTTCCTACATTGCCATCAGCAGGCTCTCCCACCAATATTAAGTTTTAATAACGACAAACAAATGAATGACATGGAAATCACAAAATTGCAATAGATCCCTAAGAAATATCACGGACAGCTATGAGAGCTGATATGGTTAATAAAAACAATGGGGTAGGGAGCACATAAAAACCTTAGAAATGTTGACAAGACCTAAATTAATTATATTAGATTAAAATTATAAAATGCAACTGCATGGAATTTTGAGTAATATCAGCTTCACTGTCTCCACCTTTGAGATGGGTTAAGTATACAGGTACGTGCAATGACATGGTGATCTGCCTTTACTACTTATCACAAATGCAAGGTAGCCCCTCCCCCCCTAAAATATTAACAGCTCACAAAACTTGTCTTCAACTATTTTGTTTCATCACAAACTTAGATGCTTAAGATTCATATTTATCATTAAGCATGAACAACAACAGCAGTGTAAAAAATAAGCAGCAGCTCAGAAGCACAGGCAAATCTCACCTTGGTACTTTAGATAACATTTAATATCACCCAAGTCAACTGTAACCAGGGGTGATATCAACAAATTGAGCAATATTCTTCTCAGTATCAGCTATTGCAGCACTATTAATAAAAACCAATTAAAAAAAAAAAAAACCTACCCTTGGCCTTTTCAAGGTCCTGGCCTAGCTGCTTAAGTCTGTCTCTGAGCATGACATTTTCTTGAGTCAAGCGTTCCAGATCATGTTGCGCTTCTGTCTTGAAGTCATTTGCAACACGAACTGTCATCAACAAATCACTTTGGAACTGCTCCCATTCTTCCACCTTTCAAAAGAATGGCAGCATTAAAATAAAAATGTTTGCAAGATAGGTCAAAACATTAATTTTTAGTGGTTTATGTGCAAGACCTTATGATACTATAATAAACTTACTTTAGTTCATCAATGTTTGTGACATCGCCTCAAAATTTACTAGGAATGGTAAGTGCAATCTTCTGATTAATTAATTCTGAAAATAAACTACACTTATACTAATACCTCAGTGATTATTACACCATGCAATGAGATATAGACATTTTTAATATTCATCTTTTACTGTACATTTTTCAAAAGGAAACCTCCAAAATTTTCAATTGCCTCAAGATAATTACTCAAATGTAAAACCAATAATTTGCTCACACCTGTTTATTAAAATGTGCCTTCTCCTCGCTGATGCAACGATCTTTTTCAGACAACTTTTCATTGGCCTCATTTAATTTTTTCTGGGCTTCAGATAAGCTAGCTTTAAGGTCTCTCTTATCTTCAAGATGATGTTGACATGCCAGTTTAAGGTCTTCAACTGTGGCTCTTAAAACTTCCACCTCTTCCTGTAGATGGTGCCGTTCTGCTTCTAGCTGAGCCTTTTTCCAGTCAGCATCCTCCAGTTGACTCCTGGCATTGTTTCGGGCTACCTGTAGTAAATTGTTAAATATAAGTACATTTGTTTTTCACTGGATTGTAGAGAATGCATTTAATATAGCAGCATACCAATAAACTTAAATTAAAAACACTACAGTGGACCCCCGCA